TGATATTCTCATTTTGCTAGATGTACCTGAATGCTTTTTGACTTACTTCACCTTGTTGCCCAGAACTCTGTGGGGTTAAATGGACCTTACAAATACATCAACAATCACAATTCTGTCAAGCCTGCCATTATATCTGTTGCTGCCTCACATTTTTCTACCACAATTTTTCTAAATAGTTGTAAAAACGTCTTTGTGAAAAGACTCTTTTTTATTATTTTTTTTTAGCAATACCTTATGGAGGGTGTCCGTAACTTTCTGCAAGGCCACTATCATATTAGTAAACTTGCATTACATTAATTTCACTTTTTGAATAGAAATACTAAAACTATTTCTTTTTACTGAGTTGCATTTCTGGGTGAGGAAGAGTGAATAAACTGGAAGGTTTGATTGGAATAAGGAGACAAGCTGATGAAGGTATACAAATTAGATGTAGGAGTTGATATAGTTCAGATATTTTGACTTGCTTCTTGAAATATTAGCCAAACAAAGTGAATGTCTTGATGAAGGCCATAAAGCTGGAGACTTGAGTGTAGATTCCAAAGCGGACTGGGGTACGACAATCATCCGGACTGCGAAAGCTCATGATTCCCACCTGCACAAAGCCTCTGGCTGTTCGGCACATGAGCGGGCTGCCATGGTCTCCTGGTGGATGCTGAAAAATGACACACTGTGATAATGTTAGTTTGTTTGTGTGGTTCTGAGTCGCACACTGGCTGACACTGAAACTTGAAAGTAATGCAGTCGGGGGGGAAAAAGAAAAAGCTTATATATTTTTAGCAGATGGTTTTATTTTTTCACAACGAAACTGTTTGACTTAATCTGTAAAATTTGTGGATGTTCTCCACATAACCTCATTCGCTGCATTTTAGATCAGACTGACGTTCTGCATGTTAGCTTTTATATAAATGCTGAAACTCACGTTGCAGGAATATTTTCCTCCAGCAGGACCACCTGCACACAGCATGTTATCACTCAGGTCTGGAAATGCAACTTTACATCTAGTCTGAGACACAATTCGAACCTTCATCTCCTGTAGAGTCAATGATTTCTCTCCCCAGGCTACATGGGCACAGAGAGAGATACAGGTGAGGAAACAGATCTCTGAATATGCACCTGCTGTATATAATGTGTGTCACAGGGATGGACATTTAATGCACTGCTCATTTATTGCGATAAATTTCATGGATTTATTTAGATTTATCTAAGAATTCCAATTTATTGTTGTTACGATAAATTCCAACTGGTCATGTTTGAAACCCCCTAAAACTGTCCATGTTGTCAGGATTGTTAGTTTTACTAGTTTCTCTACCGTTTGCGTAACTAAAGCATCCATAAATATTAATTTGTTTGAAAATCATTAAATGAAGTTACTTTCTGCAGTCTGATATAAATAACACTTCATTTTGTGACTGTAGAAGTGTATTACAAAAGGTTTGATTTTCAAGAGCCACGCTGTGACAGCCATAAAGGTTGCCTAAAAGAGAATAAATAGGTCTTATTGTCACTTTTATCGCCATCATAATATTACCATAATATATTGTGATAACACATAAAGTTCACCCTTAATGTGTGTGTGTGTGTGTGTGTGTGTGTGTGTGTGTGTGTGTGTGTGTGAAAAACGTACTACTATCGTTTATTCTCCACCAGCCCGCGATCCAACACTCAGAGGAAGAATTGAAGGTGTCATCCTCGCTGGGTAAGATCACTGGAGCAACGGTCTTAGAGAAGTCTAAAGGGTTTTTTAACCTTATGAGGGAGATGTCATTGATGAAGCCATTGACAGTAACCCTGAACTCAGTTTTACGATAAACAAAGTCTACATCCATGTAACGTTCAGATGGCTTGTCCAGCTCATATGTGCCGACCCAGACTCTTGTTCGATCCCACCTGGTCCTCAGTTCACTGAAGCACCAAAAACAGACAAAGGAGACCAAATTACCACCTCTTTTTTATCCCCTGTAAATCCAACTCAAACACTTTATGACACTATTCAACTCAAGGATCTGTTCACTCTCCTTTACTGCCTTTATCTGTCTTGACAAAAGAAGACAACCAGCTCTCCCTTATTTATAGATATTATGTTTAATATTTTTACAATAAGCTCATACTTTCATAGTATTTGATAATATCAGTTTTCTACCCAATTAACTACATTAAGAGAATGTATTTTGTGAAAGCCTCTGATTAACTCCATATAAAGCATATTAATGGTTCAGACATTTACACTAGCAGCTGTATAATTGTGGAAGATTATCAGAAAATGAAGAGTTCTGTATTCAGACTTACTCATCCCAGCAGCGCCCAGCAGTCATGACCCACTTCTGATTGAGAATTGAACCACTGCAGTGCCACTTTCTCTCCCCACTGTCTGTGGTGATGTCAAGGTAGACCAAACCAGGCCACCTGCCCTTTGGGGCGTCTCCCCCACCAATGATGGAGCTCCTCACTGCAGCCCCCATCAAAGCTAAAAGAAATAAATAAAGGAGAAATACACAGTAGTGTTTATCTTCATGCTTATCATGAGGCTAAAATATCTAGTTTATCATTTTGGTGTAAATATTGTTTATTCCATTTTAAATCACAGTCGTGTGAACTCAATTGATAAAGTTATTTACGCAACACAAGAAGCATGGACAGTCAGGATATCTCTTATTTTTTTTATCACGCATTTTGTTCTATGTAAAATGATCTCGTGTCTCACCTGCAGAGCACTGGAGCTGAACCAGCAGAGCGAGCAGTTTACCCACAGCCATGGCTGAGATGCAGCTGTGTGTCTGCAGGAGTTTCATACACACAGCCAATGATGAGAAACTCTTATCAGATGCATCACCCAGCCCCTCCAGGCAGAGCGTCATGATGTGTGTTTGGACCCAAATGCAGAGTGGTATGCAGATTTTTAAATATTTAATGGAAAAAAAAAAGAAAAACAAAAAAAAAAAAAAAAAAAAAAAAAAAAAAAAAAAATCCAAAGTTGACCAAAAATAAACCATAACAAATGTCAGGCTCTCTCCGTAGTCGTAGTAACAACCTCCTCAGCAAGTCAATGTTCTCTTTAGCCCTTCAAACGAGCCATAATTTGATGCAGATGTGCTAAACCAGGGAGAGAACTAAAACATGCAGGATGTTGGCCCTCGAGGACCGACTTTGGACACTCCTGTTCTAATTTAACACATTAAATCAGAACTGAGTTTAATGTGTTAAATGTTAATATTAGCCCAAGTTGAGGCTGTCCACCTAAACTTCAGCTGAACAAGCAGAGCTCTGATCAGAGATGCAGCCAAGAGGCTCATTGTTAATCTGGACCAGATGATCCACAGCTCAGAGGGGGAACCTGTCCACAGTCCTGTTTGCAGTTTGCCAGAAGCCAGCAAACGAGGGAGAGGGAGCTCTGGTCAGATCAGAACAAAATTAAACTTTTTAACCAAAATGCAAAACATTCGTCACTCTGAACACTCCATCTCCACCTTTAAACATGGTGGTGGCAGCATCATGCTCTGGGGTGCTTCTCTTCAGCAGGATCAGGGAAGTCTGAAAAAGACTGGAGAGCGGGGCAGAGCTTCAGCTTCCATCAGGACAAACACCCTGAACATAAACCAGGCTACAATAGAATGGTTTAAAACAAACCACACTCGTGTGTTAGAATGGCCCAGTCAAAGTCCAGACTTAAACCCAGAATCTGTGGGAAAATTTTAAAACTGCTGTTCACAAACTCTCCATCTAATCTGATTGAGTTTGAGCTGCTTTACTAAGAAGAATGGGGAAAAAAACTCAGTCACTAGATGCATAAACCCTAAAGACTAGCAGCTGTAAATGTAGTGAAAGGTGGTTCCACAAAGTGTTGACACAAGGGGCTGAATACTTTTGCACTCTGTATCTTTAAGGGATTTGCTTGTAAAACATGTTTTGAGTCATGTATACATTTCTTTCTACTTAATTGTATGACATGTTGTGTTGGTTTTTCACATAAAGTTCTAATGAAATATATTTATGTTTGTGGTCGTAATGTGACGAAATATGCAAAAGTTCAAGAGGTGTGAATACTTTTACAAGCCACTGTACTTTGTTTTTGCTGGTATAATAGTCTTCTGATAATTATCAGAGAATCTCCTTTTATTTGTCTAAGTTCTAGAAAAGTGTAGAATTTCTAAGAAAGCTGAACTAATCAGAGAGAGTAAGTCATAGGTGGTCAGGTAAGAGAGAGTTCAAATACGACTGGGATACAGTCTGAGAAGTGAATAGCACAGATTTTAATATCACAAAGAGACAGAGCACTACACAACACAAAAGCCAGAGTATTATATATTCACATTCATGTGTTGGGGCTTTAACTGCCTGACCAGGATTAAAAGAGTCTGTAAGGTTTAAAAAGTCAATAGTCAGGGGTGTATTTAAGCACTAAGCATGAATATTAAAATCACCTAGAAATAGAAAACTGTCACAGTGTGGTATCATCCTGCCTGTGTTGCTCAGAGTAAACCAGTGCACATCGTACCAGAGTGGACAGATGGATTTCCGTCAGCTGCAGTTCTAGCTGGAGTAAACTTCAGCTGCAAGCTGCCAATATTTGAAGCAGTTTTTGTGAGCAGTAACTATGTAGTTGAAAACTGCACCAAAACAAAAACCTAAAGTGTCTATGGCAACAAATGAAATGATAGTTATTCAAGCACTACTAAGTAGCATAATTGTGGAGTAGTTTGCTTAGGGAAGTCTTTATTTAAAATTTTTAAGCTGGTTAATGTTTTTTTTTTTTTTCATTGAGCTGCAGACAACATTAGTTTATGAAATAAACACAAACAGACAACAAAAGTGATGCTTCAAAGTTTTAATGCAATGTGATTAAATGTTTGACAGGGAGAGAGAGAGAGCAGTAAGGGTTGACTGGATAAGGAGACAAGCTGAGAAAGGCAGCAACTCTGCTGGTTAGGGAAGCCTTCGACTTCCTCTGACTTCTGGGAACATTAGTCAGAGGCGAATTCTTTGTCGAGTTGCTCCATTCGACTTTTGATGTAGCCCATAAAGCTGGAGACTTGTGTGTAGATGCTAGGAACGCCTGGGACCTCACAACCTTTCGGACTCCCATAACTCATGATTCCCACCTGCACAAAGCCTCTGGCTGTTCGGCACATGAGCGGGTCGCCATAGTCACCCTGTGGAGAAGCAGATTTAACTTAAAGTTAGGTTTTATTCCCTGAGCCTGCTTATACAATCAAATTGCACAATGCTCTGAAACTATGTGATAATTAAATTGTAGTTATTGTACATAAGCACACATGTTGAGGGGGAGCTGAGACAAAACTGATCAGGTTTGCCTGGTTTTATTTGGATGTTAGGGACAAGTCTGAGTTCCTGGATGAACCCAGTGCATTGAAAAGAAGGAATGAAACGCTGAGCGAGTCGGACTGGGTACAAGTAACAAGAACACATGAACAGATTTCTGGCAGGACTATGTTTTAATTCAGCTATATCATGAAAACTCACCACACCTTGGTTTTTTGTCATTATTTGATAAAATGTAATGTAAGTGATACTAATAAAAACAAATTTGAATAGTTTCTGCCATTTTTCTTACGAAGCATTTGAAAATCTAATTAAATATTAGATTAAGTTAGGAGTGCTGGTATCATGATCGGTGCTTGTTTGGGCTTTTAGGGGTTTCTTCCATGTCATATTTTAGCCATGCATTTGTTTATTTTTATATTCTGCTTAGATTTTGCTTCTTTACTTTATTCTTGCATTTGGTTCTTAGTTTATTCTTACTTTAAATTATGTTAAGCATTCATCCTTTTGGTTGTTGTTGTATTTATCTCTTTTTCAGCTGACTGCATTCATGCGACTTTGTCTGAGTGTGTTTGTGTGTGTTTTGTCTTGTGTCTCAACAGAGTATCATCAAATTAAGAAGGCCTTGGCATGATTTGAATTAAAGTTTTTGCTTTCATACACAAACGTCTACACAGATATTGAAATAGAACATCATCTCAGTTCACATAGATGCTGAAACTCACATCACAGGGGTTCTTTATCCCTTTGGGGTCGCCTGCACACAACATTGAATCAGTCATGGTCGGATATGCAGCTTTACAATCTTTCCGAGGCAAGATGGAAATCTGCACCTCTTGAACAGCTTTTGTTTGTGGCAGAGGAACTGGATGGAAACACATAAAGAGTCATGCAGGCTTCATGTCAACGATGAGTGTTTACTCAAGTAGCTTTTAATGTCGAAAAATTGTTCATTATAAGAAGGTTCAAAAAGTATTTCCAATTGCAAATTTTTGAAAACATTACTTATGTGATTTTACAGTGTAAACAATTGGAAAATAAAATCACCTTTGCCAATACTACCCCAGCCTGCAATCCAACACTCGGAGGAAGAATCAAAGATTTCATCCTCTTTCGGTAAGATCACTGGAGCAACGTTCTTAGAGAAGTCTAAAGGGTTTCTTAACCTTATCAGCGCAATGTCATTGACAAAGCCATTGCCAGCAACTCTGAATTCAGGAAGACGATCAACAATGTCTACGTCCATGTAACGTTCAGATGGCATGCCCAGCTCATATGTGCCGACCCAGACTCCTGTTCGATCCCACCTGGTCCTCAGTTCACTGAAACACACAAAAACAAACAAAGGAGACCAAATTACCACCTCTTTTTCATCCCCTGTAAATCCAACTCTCAAACACTTTATGACACTTCTCATCTCAAGTATCCGTTTACTCTCCTTTACTGCCTTTATCTGTCTTGATAAAACAAAATGATTAGATCTCTCTTATTTTAGCTGCCAGGACATTGAGAAAAATCAATTCTACACATTTTGAATTACATAACTCATGTTACATAAAAGACCAAAGTAGATGATGCTGCTGCTTGTGCACACACCACGATTACATATACCTTATCAGTTGTAAGATAAATATGTTTCACTTAATTACATCAATAAATTAAAAATACATTTAAGGTATCTCCATGATAGCTAATGTAGAAATAATACCAACCAAACATCTGTTTGTTGTTTATATGTAATTAATATCCAGTTGACCCTCCCACAGTCTTAGCGAGGGAGGGTTAGATGTGACGGTCAGACAGCAGGAAGCGGGGTCAGACATGTCCCTTCAGACCGTCAGTTCCCGAAACCACACACAAAAAAATATCTAGTAAAAGGCACAAAGCCAGACCCTCAAAAACTCGTGGGGTCCCTATCTCTTAAGACTATGGGTGAATTAAAAATGTTATTAAATTTTAAGTATTCATTTATGGATATTTTGAATTATTCTTAATAGCCTTGTCCTGTCAGTCTTTCATTTCATTTTATTTATTGAAATTACAACAATGCATGTTAACAAACATGTCAATAATAAGCATCGAAATATGCCAAAGTTAGCACAACTGCTAATATTCTTAGTATCAGTTTTCTATCCATTCTAATCAACTACATTAACTGATGGAAATGTATTTTGTGAAAGCCTCTGATTAACTCCATATAAAGCATATTTATGGTTCAGACATTTACACTAGCAGCTGTATAATTGTGGAAGATTATTAGAAAATACTCAATAATTCCATCCAGACTTACTCATCCCAGCAGCGCCCAGCAGTCATGACCCACTTCTGATTGAGAATTGAACCACTGCAGTGCCACTTTCTCTTCCCACTGTCTGTGGTGATGTCAAGGTAGACCAAACCAGGCCACCTGCCCTTTGGGGCGTCCCCCCCACCAATGATGGAGCTCCTCACTGCAGCCCCCATCAAAGCTAAAAGAAATAAATAAAGGAGAAATATACAGTAGTGTCACCTCAGAATAAAGAATTAAACATTTTGGTGTAGACAAAAAATTGGTGTGCACCTAATGACACAACACAAGAAACAACATTAAGGTGGCCACCGACATCCTGAAAAACTGACTAAATAATGAAAAGATATTTATAATATCAACCTCACAAATAAGAAGTTTGTGAGGCTGTCAACATGTTGGGAATGAAGGAACCCTTAAAATGAATGATCTTGTGTCTCACCTGCAGAGCACTGGAGCAGAACCAGCAGAGCGAACAGTTTACCCACAGCCATTTCTGAGATGCAGCTCTGTGGAGCCGAGAGACTGCAGGAGTTTTATACACACAGCCGATGATAAGAAACTCTTATCAGATGCATCACCCAGCCCCTCCAGGCATGGGCAGAGGAGAAATGTTTATATTCACTTTGATGCAGATTTAAAAGATCTCCTCACTTTGTGTGGACAAAAATCTGAAATAATTCAGAAAAACATAATATTTTTTTTATATTTCTTTGAATTTAATACTGGAGCTTTTTTTTTTTTTTTTTTTTTTGCATAAATGTTTATAATGTTTACCTTACACCATAACACAAAACTACTCATATCCTTTGGCTTTTTTCACATTTTGTCATAGCGCAATCAGACATTTCAGTGGACTTGACTGTGTCTTGTTGCACATAATTTTTTTAGGGGTATGAGAATAAAAGGGAGTGATAAAAGAGACCACCGCCTCTTTCTGATTTATATTTGTTAAATGTTTTGTATACCATTTATTGTTTCTTTCCATAGTCATGTTCTATTTTATGTTTTTTTTTATATATATATATAAATTCCCTGTAAAGTACATTGAAGTTTGCGGCTCTAATGTGACAAAATTTGATAAAGTTCAAAGGCTACAAATGAATAGTTTGGCAAGACACCGTACCTTATCTGCACATACACTGACTGAATCCCGAGTCTCATTATAAAGGAACAGATGTTGTCTCTAAATATCTTGGCCTTAGTGTAATATGGCATCTGGTAATCTATACATGACATTACAAACCATCACTAGCTTTTGTTTTTTGTTTGTTTACTTTAAGGTTAAATTTTTGTATTTTTATTATGTGAATGATTGAACACCACTGCAAACATCTGTCAAGTCTCTAAATGTTTCTTAAGTTGTTGTTTTTGTTTGTGGTTATGTTGTGGTAATGTCTGGTGGTGACGAGACAGCGTGCTGGAAAGTAACTGAGAGGGAAAAGGTTGCTGGGACAAACGTGTCTAAATTTCATCTGCAACATTCAGATGGTCAGCTCAGAATTTGGCATGAACAACATGTGTTTGTCAGATTGTTTTTTCTAGATAAACCCATTTCCAACTGACTATTGACTCATCAAAGCAAACAACCAGGAAGAACCCCCACCAGTACAACAAAGGAAAAGTCCCCTCATTTCCTTGGTGAAGTTTTGTTGGGGACCATGTTCATCCCTTTCATGGCCAGAGAGTTCCATGAAAGTAGTTTTGATGACTACTTCCAGCAGGATAATGCACAAATCAAATTTAAGAGGTCTCCAGCAAGACAATGCTGGATACCTCACTGTTTAGTGATGTCCTTCACATAGTCACAAGATCTCAGTCTTTTAGGACTGGATAAAACACGAGACATGTAGCCTACCAATATGTTGCAGTAGCACTTGGAGTTCATGTATCATGCTCAGTGGCGCAAAAAGTGGGTATGCAGCGCATGCAACGCATAGGGGCGCTGCACCAGAGGGGGCGTCAAAACCCCGTCTGGAGGGGGCGGCTCCCCGATGATGCCTTCACATACACTTCACAGCGCCCTTACTCTAAGAATAAAGGTTGAGTGCATACCTTAAAATGTATTCTGAATCTAAAGTTTAGGTTTAGATATTCCCAAACAGACATCCAAACAATAGTTTGAATGAATAAAGTAGATCTGACTTCTGTAATGGTTCCAACCAGAACCCTACTGAATATAAACTATGCTCAAAGCTGGGTCAGGGACATGAAAACCAACCCATTTAAACCAGCTTAAAATCACATAATAATTCATTCGATAGGGGGTTCTGGTGATAGTTTTCCCTGCAAATTTCGGAGTCCTTTGTGGATTGCAGAAAATATCCATTAAATTGAAATGTGTTAACTCGGCTCTTTGTATAGTGCTCCGCAGATTTATTTATTGTATTATAACATTACGGAAATTCATAATTGAAGCCCCCAATTAATCTGACATTAATTTGCCGGTGTTCTGTATTAGTTGCATGGCCCAGCGCTGCGGTATTCCAGCGGCATAGGAACGGACGGTCCTGGCTGTGTTTCTGGGGGAGCATTTTCAAACGAAACATACAACTTCTGACGTTTTTCGGACAAACAGTAGCTAAGTCAGCAAAGTCAGTCAGTGTTGCTGTTGTTTTTTTGAAACTCAGAATGTTGGTGAACGTTGACTCTGGGACGTTTTGGTAGCCTGTTTCCGTGGATGTTTTCATGGTTAGGACCATGGAGCGCTCAGCCAGCATTAATGCTGACCAACCCCAGCAGCCTGGTAATAATGGTGGGTCACCCAGCTGTCAGTTTCACCCACCTTTTGGATTAAATCTCGTTTCACTTTGTTTTCTCTGTTGTGTCCAGGTTGTTGCGTTAAATGGCGCAACTGGTGGGGCTTTTGGTGAGTGATTACTGATATAATCCTAAAATATGTCTGCAAATTCAATCTACATTCAATTTACTGCTTCAGCAAATTGAATGTTTTTTTTTTGTTGTTGTTAATATTAGCCTGGATGGCTGATAGTTGTGTTTAATAATATTGAAAGGAACAAAACCGTAAAAGAGTAAAAAGAAAGGCTGAGAACTAAACTCCAGCCAGCGAAGCCACGCCTTCCTCCAGCCATCAGGTGATTCTAGTGTTACTTCCTCCTTACGGATGAAGAATAGAAACTAAATTGTTTCAATAATTTTTTCGTTCTGCGTATTTTGTATTTATAATATTTCCAGAGTCTTGCAAAAGTAACCATGTCACTGTCATAACATTATAACCACAAACTGCAGCGTTGTTTAGTATTTTATGTGATAGACTAAAATTAGAAATGTCTGCTGTGCATTCAGCACTGATTAGTAGAAGGACCTTTAACTGCCGTTGCATATATATATATATATATATATATATATATATATATATATATATGCTCCTTTTGTCTTGTTCCTTCTTCAGGCTCCTTGGACTTTGCAACAACTTTGCTTATGTGGTCATGCTGAGTGCGGCTCACGACATCCTTGAAAAGCAAGAATCAAAAAACTCAACAGTGACTGTAAGAAAGCCAATGTGATTAAACACATATATTATTATCTAACCATTAATAACCATAGTTATTAATGGTTAGATAATAACCATTATCTAACCATTAAACACCGATTAAACAACATTCGGTGTTTAATCACCGAATGTTGTGACCCTTACATTCCAGGCTTCAGATCAGCTGGCTGTGGGCTTCCGAGCTGGAAACAGTAGGAACAGTAGTCGGTACGACTGCAGTCCTGTCAGCACCGGGGTAAGAGGAGACTCTCTCTCTGGTTGCCTCTGACCAGACCAGACCAGTAACATCCACCATTAGCCTGGGAAATCATTTCCGGGGTGTTCTAATGCATCAGACAGCAAAGCGTTTAGCTCCATTCCTTTAAACCCCATAAAAAGAGATGGAATCTGAATTTACTCAAGTGTTCATGGTTAGGTCCAGTTAGATTATGATGTGGAGAACTGGGAACATCACTTTACCACACAGTAAGAGGCAGCTGCCATCAGGGATCACTGTCATTAATGTTTAGGCATTTGGCAATATGAAATAGCATTATGACTTCATATTGCTATTTTCTTTTCCTTTTAAAGGAATTTGGTTGAGCATAAAGGTTTCCCATTTCCTTCATTGCTTAATTTGTTTTTGGGTTTTCCTCCTGAGTATTCTATGCATCCTGGAAATAACCTGATCTCACTAACTTCAAGGATTTTTGTTTGCTTATTGAAATTATTTAATTGGGGCCATGGATATGAGATATCCGGATGTAATCATAAGGGATCATATGCTTTATATCAAGGTGAGGGCTTATTTTGGAACTGTCTTGCAGAAGGACCTTCAGCTGATATCAGGCTGAATAAAATGTTGGAAAGAAAGACAGCTGAGAATAAAGTAATTTTGTTGTCATAATAGATTTGTTGTTCTATTTGCATACATATATGTGTGTGTGTGTGTGTGTGTGTGTGTGTGTGTGTGTGTGTGTGTGTGTGTGTGTATATATATATATATATATATATATATATATATACATATAAGGGGACTTCTGAAAGTTTGACTGGATTTTATTCAGGGGTAAAATACTAAATGGGGATGCATACAAATTCATGATGGTCTTTTTCCATTCACTTCACAGCCTTACAGTAGCTTTTGTTGTTGTGTTACATGAAATCCTTAGAAGTTTGAGGAAATGTGACAAAATGTGAAAATGTGAGCACTGTATTTAACATGGAAAAAACTTTTCGTAATAAGTTCTGTTAGATCAGAATGAATGAAGGTAAACAGAGGTAATGTGTGTTTGCAGGCTGTGCTTCTGGCTGACATTCTTCCAACACTCTTCATCAAGATTTTAGCTCCCTTTGTGATCCACAAAGTACCCTATGGGTGAGTTCATCAGTATTACTTCAAATTCCATAAGTATATTTGATCAAGCTTGACATGTTTAAGAAGCAAATCTGATGGGAAGAATGTTGAAAGTTTTAGTGTTTTTTTTTTCAGTACTTAATTTTTATTCACAGTATTCCAAGTAAAACAGTTTATAAATTGTTTATATTAATCAGAAAATTAAAGTAAGGATCCATTCTTTTCCAAAACTCTAAAAGCAAATTCTTTTATTATTTCTAGTTTTCGGGTGCTGTTTTGTGTCGCTATGGCAGCAGCAAGTTTCCTGCTTGTTTCCTTTTCCTTCGCTGTGTGGCTAAGTATTGTTGGTAATTATTGATGCTCCAACTCTTCTCGGTATGTGTGGTGAAGCTGATAATGATGAAGGCGTTAGATGATAGATTTTAGTCATTTCAGTTTAGTTTGCACCTTATCTTCTCTGCATGCATGGAGATATGATATCACAGCTTCATGTTGAAATGAGCCTGAAGCAGCTCATCATGATAAGTGCAGTTATTAATACACCCTTCTGTGATCATTTCTTATCAAAGGAGGCGAACTGATGTGATCAAACTGAGAGTTTTAACACAGCAGCATGTTGCTGCTATGCCCTCAGAAGAGTCCAGGAAACAACAAAGATAATGTATTTGAAGTATACATGAAATTTTGACCCTTTTAATGCAACTGTGCATTAATAGTTGTATTAAAAGTACATTAAAAATATCATCTTAGCATTATTTGGTAAATAACTACATTTTTATGCAAAGTTACAGTAAAACTGGGATTAAATGTGAATTAAAAGTGTCAACTTTGCATTAAAAATGTCATTATTTCCCTAATGATAATTCACAACAACACTTGTAATCATTCATGAAGACTCCTTTATGTTTATGACAGGTGTTATATTATGTTTATGACAGTGTCATGCCAGTCTTATGCACACCCCTTCAAATAAATTGTACCATTTTACCATGACGCACAGCTACATTACTCAGTTCAGTTCAGGAAAATTGTACAGTAATGCTAAGGTGGGGATGTTTCTGTATAAACTTTTTGGTTTCTTTGCATGTGTGCTAAAAGTTCCTGCATTCACACTGAGCTCACTCTGTGTTGTTACAGGAGTGATCTTTGCCAGTATAAGCTCTGGGCTGGGGGAACTATCATTCCTGTCACTCAGTGTCTTCTTCAACAGGTAAAACCGTCATCTATGTCTTAGTTTCTTTTGAGTTTTATAAGGTGCTTAAACTGAATCAAACATAATAACCAAGAGTGGGACTGTGCTACAACCTGCAGGATAATGTTGATAATGTTGACGAATGTCATTTTAATATGACTCATGACATGTGAATAAATACTTAAAGGCCAAATTATGCCAAATTTTCTTTCTGCATGTTTTTGTTCTTTCATTTGGGTCTCAGCCCAAGTGGAGCTTCGCTCACTTCGTCATTAGAAGATGGACAGGTTTGGTCAGTTGGTTTTACCGCTGTATGCGCTGGACTGTGGCTGCTGGATAAAAATGTCCATGCATTCTCCCAGCTACAAAGAACAGAATTATGTGGCTTCATTTTCTCTTTATATATTTACTCTTTTACTCTTTATATTATGTAGAAACATAATATATACATATACATTTCAATGTCTTTTTATGCACGTTTTGAATCATCGCATTAGTAAAGGTTGATGTAAATGTCAAAATTTGAAATAACTTTCTCAGTTTCACAAATAATAAAAAAGTACGCTCTCTTGAGTTGCTTTTTGGCTTTTCCAAAAAAAAGTAAGTCAGTGCTTTAAAGGCAAGATGGAAACAAGTTTGCTTAATAAGTTCCAATGTAGCAAATGCAAATTCATCCTTAATATTGTTAAGTATTTCTTAATGTATTGCAACTTATATTAATATCATAATATTCCACAACATTTTGTGCATAATGTTATGCAGTCCTTGGGTTTTATCCTTAGAGCTCCCATGTGCAGTTCTGCTACATAAAATTCCAACAAAATACATTGAAATATTTGGGCAAAAGGTGGAAGGGTTCAAGGAGTGTGAAAACCTTTCCATTATCCATCATATAATATTAGGTGTAAACCCTTAGACTGTGTGGCTTGGGGTTAGTAACTCTGCTGCCTTCATCCTCAGGAATGTTCTGGAAGGCTGGGGTTCTGGGACTGGTGCTGCTGGTGTTGCTGGTTCCCTTCTCTATGCAGGCCTCATCCAGGCACATCTGTCCCCCCGGACAACACTGCTCATCATGTTAATTGTTCCGTTTGCAATGCTAGCTAGGTAAGTGTTGAAATGCTGTTAAAAACGTGTTACTTCTGTAATGAGCTGCTTTCAGGAAGTATTAGAAACGTGCTGACAGTCTCTCCCTTTTCAAACTGATGACGCCGTTTCAGTTTGGTCACAAGCCACTTATGCTAAGCTTAGAAAAAAATTTGAAGTTCTCATGCTATTAATTGAAGTTACATCAGAGCATGGTTCTGTGAACATGACAGAACAGTTTTAGTTTTTATCTGGTTTAATGTATAAGTATCCAAGATCAAACAACCAAAAACAATCAATAAAAAAATAGAAATAAAAACCACTTACAAACGAAACGATAAAAAAATGGATTATGATGTTTATGTAAACAAACTTACTCTTCAACTTACTCTACCGAGCTCATTTTAATTTTTCACGCAATTAATTGCTTATTGCACCAGCACCAGACTTAAAAGGGCAGTGTCACTCAATCAAGCAACTATGTTACCTTCAGTTGTTATAAAAATGTACATATCATATATGACTTAAAAGAAATTTTACTGACTAATTTAGCACCTTGCAAAGGGCTACTGTCTTTTTAAAAACTCCTTTTCTTTGAAACTCTGCCTTCAGGAAGTCATCACAACATGGCTCCTCTATTGACCCTTTAATGATGTTTTTACCAGCATTGCTCTGAGAATTAGCTTGTATAATTAATCAAACAAGCGCAGTCGTACAGTACATTTCAGCAATAAAGCTGTTCAGAGCTGTTTGAATCAAGTTCAAAGTGCTTTACCTCATAGACACACAAAAATAAAAAGACATATGAACAAGATGTAGTCAACAATTGAAAAACCAGAAACAAACATTAAATTTTAATGAGTGCCATCATCAAAATTATCAATACTCATCAAATATCCAGTTATTATGGCTCAAAAGCAGCTCTAAACAGGAGGGTTTTAGGCTAGATTTAAAGGAGCTCAATGTTTCAGCTGTTTCTCAATTTTCTGGAAGTTTGTTCCAGATTTGTGGTGCATAGAAACTGAATGCTGTGAGTTTTGTAGATGTGCAGTTCCATCAGCTGTTTGCTAATTGCTGCTGGCTAGTCTGAAGGAGTTGCATGGGAGAGCTGCTCTGTGAGGCGGGAGCTCAGAAACTTGGAGAGCTGATAGAGACGCAGCTGTGCTGTGAGCTAGTAACAGAATGAATGCAGGGAAACAAAGGCACACTTCTCCAATTTCCAAATATTTTCTTGCTCTTTATGATTCTGGACTACTTTGTGTTGGTTTATTAAAATAAATCCCAATGAAATAAACAGTCTGAAAGTCTGTTGGTATGGAAACCTTTGCAAAGCAGGTATGTGTTGAAGTATCTAGTAAGCACTTTCAGTAATTTCTTGTGCTTTATTGTGGGACAATAGGCTGAAAAAGGATGTACCCTTAAAACTCATGTCATGTAGGAACACATTACAAAGAAGAATCAATGTCTGACATGATCATTATATGTATGTGTTCTTCCTCCATTACCAGCTATTTCTTTCTGCTGGTTCCTGAACCTTCTCTACCTCAGTGGAGCAGGTCGGAGACAGAGTGTCCACCTGTGGACTCGGAGGAACGACAGCGACTGATGGATGAATTAGAAGATGACCTGGAGACATCAGCTCCAGGTAAAACACCCAGCAACATCTAGGATGTCTAACATTAACATAGAATTTCCAGAATGCTTGATTTTGTAATTGGTCAATCAGTTAATGTAATATCAGAGTTTGTCCATCAATATGAGTTGGCCTGCATCATATCTTAAAAGACTGACACGTCTTCTATTGGTTTTATCTGATCTGACTGAAATGTCAGTTTTTCTGTTTGAGGAAAACGTGTTGATATTTGGTTTGATTAGAAAGTAATTAATCTCTAAATGAAGACTTCTTCTTCATAAGGCATGCTTGTTATCATGTAATGTGGTTGCTGTCCACTAATTTGGCTTTAATTTTTCAGAGCAAGTGATAAGAATCTGGATGTAAGCTTGATTTGCTGGAAAAAGTCTGTTCATATTTCTATATCAGTTTAATTCTGGGCAAAATAAGCAAGTCACCACTAAGTGGGGAAGGTTGATAGAGCATCTTTACTAAACTCAAGAGTCATTTAATGAAGCATACTCAGGACTTTAAATGATCCAGTTCATCTCAGTTCAATTCAGCAACAGAACAAACATCAAGTAAATAACCTTGTCATGACTTTACACACAGCAATTATCAAAATCCAGAAGTATATGTGTTGAAGTCTAAACTACTTATTTTTGGATTTAAGAAGGCAGAGAGAAAAAGAATGAATATATGACTGTCATACCTGTATTATGATGAGAATATAAAAGACCCGAGCCGGAACCTTTGTATTGTGTTTCTGGCACGCCTGAAAATCTGACGCGAAACAAAATGATGGAGGACAAAGCTGCTTCAGGTTCATTTCTGCTTCTGAAACAGATCTGATTAAATTGTTGTGTTCAAGTTGTGCTAAAAGGAGTTAGCCTATCAGTGAACCTATTCAAGCCTTAAATAGCTTCTCAATGCTAAACATGTAGCATCCCCAACGCTAACGTCAGCGTGCACGGTCCACAAACAAGTTCCAGGAATGATCAGGAGTTCCTGAAACACTGAGGAACTGATTGGCTATAGCACTTTGATTCAATTTAACCCTGTAATTAACTCAAGTCCCACCTTTAGATTAAACCCTTTATACACCCAACCAAACCTGGATGTTTTGATGTTCTGGGTTTAGTGCCATCCATCTTCCCATCAGGTCTGACCAGAAAAACATCCCATCAGTAAACACCACCATGTTTGATTGTGGGGACGGTGGAATTATGGGGATTTGACATGTTCCTTCTCATCCACACCAAACATTTAACATTTAGGCCAAAACATTTACCGTTGTCTGAGCAGAGGCAACACTAAATGCAGTTGAGTTTGTTGATCAACAGCGTGTTGATTGGTCACATTCAGTCCCAATAAAATACACTAAAATCTGTAGCTGTAGTGTGACATGAGTAAAATGGTTATGAATATTTTATCATGTAACTGTAATAGCTGTAATGATGATGATGATGATCTCCACAGTGAATGCATGTGTAGTGACTGATTATTCTCTCCTCATTGACTGTAACAGAGGACAGGACCATGGGACCGGTCACCCTGCAGGAGAAGTTAGCTGTCACCAAGGTAAGTGCATCTCTCACACGTTTGGAAGATTTTCTTCATTGTCATCAAACACTAAGAGTGTATATTGTTTCTGTGAACAGGGCTTGTTACCGTTTGTTATTCCTCTGGGACTGGTCTACTTTGCTGAGTACTTCATCAACCAAGGCTTGGTAAGCTCTATAGTGACCTCTGGCCTCACACTCATCTCACTGCATGCTGTATTTTTTTTGTGAGATGCTAGGAATTATAAGCTGCAACTATCATGAAGGACAAATTATTCTTTTTAACAATAAAATGACTAGAAACATTTAGATGTGAAGAATTTTGATTTTCTTTTTGTTGTATTTGTCAGATGGAGCTCCTGTTTTTTCACAACTCTTCCTTATCGCATGCGGAACAGTATCGCTGGTCAGTAAACTGTCTTTTTATTTAATTGTTAGATGTTGTTTCATTCAGGTAGAAGGTTCTGATTGTTGGTTGTTTGTGTATTTGCTCAGGTACCAGACCTTGTACCAGGTTGGTGTGTTTGTGTCCCGATCCTCTCTGCGTTTGAAAAAGTTCAGGAAAACCTGTATTTTCTCGCTACTGCAGGTGAGAAATGGACCAACTACAAATCTAGAAGTGCATTAGCTGTCAGTGACCATGGTAACATGTGACTGCACTTGTAGCCAGCTTATCAAAATTGTAGCCAGGTTCATCAAATACAGCAGAACCTTATATGGTTATGTCTGCTTAAAGGAATTAGAAATAATGCCTGTTAAATAAGTGCAGGAGGCTCCCAGAAGGGCCAGCTGGTGGAAAATGACACCAGGTGGAATCTCTCTCTAAAAATAATATGCTTCAGTATTTGTTGGTTTATTCTTCTTGAGTTATTAAACTTGGCTGATAGATTTATTATGTACAGTAGCAGACTTTTCTTTATCAGTGGAAAATTGTTTGATAAATGTTTTCTACTTGTAATATTTCAGTTGCTATGGAAATTAAAATAAAAGATCCTTATCCATCAGCAGAAGATATACCAATATACCAATACAGCATTTTGTGTTTCTTACAGAGGGACAGAAAAAATGTAATTATTATGTAGTTTGTACCTGGTTATGAAAGAAGAAAAATACAACCTCAGATTAAACCAGGGGGTCCGAAACCATTTTTTTCTCAGTCCACCTAAATAAAACACCCTGCTGTTTGCGCTGATTAATGAAACAACTCACCATTACAGGAAAACCAAAAATCAGGAATACCCTCCTTCTGACTCTGATTGGCTGCTTCTTAGCAACCTGTGTACTTCTACAGTTAGTACTAGGAGCACTGGGAGAAGGCAGAGGAGCTCCATTTTTTCACAGCTTATCTGTATCGAATTACACTGTCATCCAGAATGATGGCATTTTGTTTTTGTCCCACTGTGAAGGCCCCAGATTGACCAGATTACCCACATTACGCTCTGACCTGGGAACACCTTGGAGTATCCCAAAATGAACTCAAGAGTGTTGCTATGGAGGCCTGTGTTTTCGTGGTTGCACTGAAATATATTTATTAATTGATCGGACAACTTGCAGCTGGTCATGTTGTAAATTCTCAAATGGAAAACATTCAACAAAAGTTCCCGGTCTTACAGCGAGTTTTACTCTGAGATGATAGTCAGTCCAGATGGACTATACACATGTCAGTTTACATGTTGACTGGTTACAGTAGATTACAAAAAGAGCATGAACAAGTCTGATCTTTTTGGCTGGAGAAAAGGAAAGTATATTAGCTGGATTGCAACTATTCAGTGAGGACAGTCAGAGCCGAACTGACCGACCACACAGCAAAGGATCAAAAATGTCTCATGCCAAGAGGCATGACAGCTGCCGCACAGCTGAGGCTTTCCAAGCATGTCACAGATAATAGATGATCATTTTCGCATAGAATGTGTGAGTGTTTCAAGTTCTGCAGTTTCACTGTCTTTTCTAAAGATTGTTCTAAATCTTTATTCCCTGTCCTCCTCTCTGCCTGCCACAGATGGTGAATGCAGTATTCCTCATCTTTGCTGTGCTCTTCCAGTTTCTGCCCAGCATCTGGATTGTCTTTGGTATCATTCTCTATGAAGGTCTGCTAGGAGGAGTGGCCTATGTAAACACCTTCCACTTCATCAGCAAGGAGGTAACACCGTCTGTCCGTCCGTCCGTCCGCCTGCCTGCCTGCCTACCCGTTTCTCAAGTTGAAGAATGCATATTTTTACTGTTTTGACTTTCTTGGTTTATATTTGCATTTGTGGACAAATTTGTTGCCTCGCTTGGTAAAAATGGGTAAAAAACTCCAAAACACTTTAAATGAATTCATCATTTATCACAGAAGCATAAATCTCATAGAAAATGAGAGACAAATCAATGAGAATATATCAACAACATTCAGTTAGGTGGAAATGGCATGTTGGGAATATGTGTCTGTGGTCTGTGGTAATGTTTTAATAAAAACATTACCACAGACACATTTGTTGGGGTGCAGACCTGCTAAACCCTGACCTTAACTGGAAGTGCTTGATTTGGCCAGATGAGACGCAGATTGAGCCACTGCAGGTGTGTTTGGTTTAAACATCTGCCAATGCATACTGTGTACGGAGGAGGAGCAGTGATGCTGTGGGCCTGTTTAGCTGCAACAGTATGGGAGCTTGTTTGATCGCATGGCATCTTGAATTCCCTGATATAGCAGGAGGATTTAAATACATATCTGGTGGACTCTAGCAGTAAACAGTCAATGTAGCTCTAATTCATCTTTTGACATTTTTCAAAAAAAGTCAAACCATAATCCATCCATTCCTATTGGTCTTAGTGATGAAACGATGGAGTCAGGTTGTGTTTATTAATAGATACGATTATCTTTGCATCTTTCAGCAACTCAAAATATTTTGATAAATTAATCTAAAACTGATCAAACAACATCCTTCTCTCCGTTTGCTTCATTATTGTGAAGTGATAGAGAAGATTAAACTGTATCCAGTAGAGAACGGAGGCTGTGCAATCCATCATCTGCAGGTGTGTTGGTAAAGGTGTCAGAGGGGATTTTCCCCTTAAATATTTAATTATTCCCTCTCATCTGTCCCTCGTAGTAAATTTACTCCAATTAAAGAATGATTTTTTTTCTAAAAACCAAAATGAGTTTGAGATGATTCTTCTGCATTAAAAGATGTTTACATTTGATCCACATCTTTACCAGGATGGCGAAACATTTGTCTGCATCTGCACATAAACATACCTCTAAGCATCTCCTGACGGATGTCCTTTCTCCCACAGACTGAAAGCAGATACAGAGAGTTTGCCATGGCAACGTCCAGTGTGGGAGACAGTCTGGGAATAGCTCTGGCTGGAGCTGCAGCTTTCCCCACACATAGCTACTTCTGTTCCCTGTGACGAAGAATAACCAACATAGAGCAGGACTCTATGTCAACAATTTCTTTAAAGATTGGGACTTAGAATAAAATGCATAACTCTTTCATAAAAATCCTCATCTACACATAAAGAATTCCCTCTGAATTCAGCAGCACCAATTGGTGAATCCTCTGCAGTTGAGAAGAAAACTTTCATCAGCAGTGCTTCCCAGAACTGTTCAGCTTCCAACCCACAAAATACCAGTGAAAGAGGCTGGTAGTGACAGCAGACAATGTATCCACTTGGATCTGTTTTTATTCACTCATAAGTACTGATTTTATCTGTTTTGATATTTATAGCTAAAAATACTATACCATATTCTTTTATTTAGTTCTATTTTTAAGGGGATCTCAGGACATTTGAGGATTCACAAGTCCAGATGGAAATACTGACAACGTTGAGAACCTCTGCCTTATATTGTGTCTGCTCCATAAAACAAATTTAAGAAACTCATTAAATAATATGTTTCTACCCAGAGCTACTTCGTCTGAATCTGCTTCATGTCATTCAGTGACAGGAAGTCTGATATCCTTTATACAGAGTAGTTGTTTGAAGTGTATTCTATAATCAGTCAGTCAGTAACATCTTCAGGAGGGATTACACAGGCTCCTGTAAACTGGAGCATTTGCTTAAAAGCATTTTCTGCTACATCCTTTTAAAATATTGATGTTAAAAAAATAGCTCTTCATGTTTGTGTTTTAAATACCTTCACTTTTTCATTGTTAACTGAAAGCACTTGGACCTGAAACCACCGGTGTGGTAGTGTTTGATTAATAAAAGCTCTTACTTTCCTGAAAAAACATCAATAGACATGGAAAGTATTAACCTTTGACTGGGACACAGAGGGCAGAGATACAACTAAGCACCTCGTTAAATCTTGCAGTCAAGTTTGTTTGCACAGCACATTTCAGCACCAAGGCAATTCAAAGTGCTTAACATGATAAGTGCTTTGTGGTGCATAGAAGCTGAATGCTGCTTCTCCATGTTTGGTTCTGGTTCTGGATTCAGAGCAGAACCAGAAGACCTGAGAGGTTCTGGAAGGTTGATGCAACAACAGATCTTTAGTATGTTGTGGTGCTAAGTTATTCACTGATTAATAAACTAACAACAGTAATTCTTGACACTGTTTGTTGTATTTAAATATATACCAGGTATTATTGAAGTCTTTAAAACCAACATTTTAATGTTGGTTTTAAAGAGGTTTATTTGTACTATTAGTTTTAAAGGTTAACTTCTTGCAGCCTAATCAGGGACTGGGCCTGTAGACAGGACAATGTTTACTTTTTACCATTCCTCATCAAATGAACTTGAAATAAATCAGTTTCTCAGTAGATATTTATAGATAACAGAAAAGCACTAATATGCCAATAGATACAACTTTGGAAATGGAAAAACCTCTTATTTTTCTCAGTAAATTATATCCTAACCTTTAGACTAAACAATCTGAATATCAAACTGGAAGCTCCGTCATTAGTTGAGTTTTACAGTGCTTTTGAAAAGGTTGCATCTTGTTTTGCTTCAAAGATGGGCCTTTACTACCATCTTTAGTTTCTACTAGGGCTTATACAGTCTTTCTACTCATTGCTACATTAACTGCGTTAAACTTTTGTATTGATTGTAATGGTGTCAGTGGTCCAACTGGATCAATGAACCCAAAGGTTGAACAATGTTCAGAGCTTTAATGAGTCAAATTGAATCCGCTTTCAACTTTTAGTTGTGAACATACAATTAGTTTATTACTCACAAGAAAACGGTTATATCATGCACCGATAAGCTGTTTGAAGATTTGCATTCTGTTTTCAGAAATGTCTCCAAAAATGAACCAGTGTGCTCATTCCTACTGATGTGATCATAATGCCATGGCTGACATGCTTTATTTTTATCATGAGTTTGTGTATGATTTTATGCCCATGTCTTTCTTCATTTGTTGAATAAAGAATGATGTTTTAATTTTCTGTGGGTCTTGTTCTACAGTAATACTGGATATGTTATTAAAAATGGTCTCATAATGGAAGACTCCCAAAAGAACTGATAAGATACTCTTTTAATGATAATATTAAAAACTTCTAAAATAAAAAAAATTTTTAGATGGTGTATTATTATTATTATTATTATTATTATTAAATAGTTCCCAGTGCCGTGGAAAAATTTTCATACTAACACCCTAACACCTGAGCCTGCCTTGTGGTGCATTAGTGTCAAACTATGGTACAAGTGCTACTGGTGATACTCAAACAGACTGCAGTGATACTTAACAGTGTTAGTATTCATAATTTGCAGTAAATACAGTAGCATTGTTCCATTAACCTATCAGAATCTGGATCTTGGATTTACAAAATGAAATCATGTCTAAGTTCCGAGTTAGAATCCAATGGAATTTACAGATTACCATTAAAAAAGGCTGTTTAGTGACGTGTATGTGAATATATTTATGGAGATACAGATAAACATGCCGAAACAGTTCATCCCTGAAGCTGTATGACAAAGTTTTATATAAACTGCAGACATAGTGGATTTTCAGTCTGGTATTGAAATGAAAACTGATTCTAACAATTTAGAATTGACAATTCTAAATTGACTAAGTGACTAAGTTCCCTTAGTCTCTCAGCCAGTGACTAAGAAAATAAATATATTTATTTAAATATATTTATTTTCTTAGTCACTGGCAAATCAAACAAGTGCCACCAAAAATATCTCCGTTTCTTTACAAACAAGGGGAAAAAAAGATTTGTGACCACAGCCTTGAAAACAGAATTGCCTTTATGACTCAGTTACACATTGTAGATTTATATTTCTATGTAGTTTAGCCTGGTTTGTAAGCTTTTCCAGTCAGATACTGATCATCTGGTTGAAAGTTGGAGCAATGTGCGTCCCCCGCACCGGAAGTTACGGTGGAGCGGTTGACGTTGGTGGTGAGCACAGCAGGACTGAACCGGCAAAGACGATACCGGGGGAGGGAGTGGAGCCGGTGAACGAGTGGTGAAAGAATCAACTATCTACGGAGAGTAACGTTGATGACTGTTTTTCAAGCTTTCAGAGACACGGTAATTACGTTTTTAAAGTCTTATCGATTCAGACGCGATATGTTCACCGTTTTCCGAAGCGCGTTAGCGTAGTGTCTTGCTAGTGAAGTTAGCCAAGGAGAGCTAACCAGCGTTTTTGCCGAATGTAAAGTTAATCAGGGGCTACAACCTTTCATCTTCTCAAATTGACATAGTTCATTAAAACAACTGGCCATCGAATACAGGGAGGTGTTTGATGTCCACTGTGAGGCATTTGTCCAACCATTACGACAAATTCTTGAACAAAATGGTTGTCTTAGTTCTCAAAGAATCAGTTGTTCTCTGACGTATTAGTGGTGATGTAAGCTAACATGCTAGTGGCTAGCATAGGTTAAGCTGCGCCCATAGGCCTCGCATTCCTTAAGAAATAACCTAATTTTTCTGCCTCATTTTTTGTCTGTTTCACGTTAAATACGTTTTTGAAGTTACAATTGTTTTACTTTTTAGAAGACTGGACTACGCGTATATGTAGCCTCACAGGAAATACAAGGCTGGTTATTTTGAATGTTCAGCTTGTTTATTTTGCATTTTAATAAATGACCTTGTTTTATTTCTCCGTCAGCTTTTTTTACTCAGAACTCTGTGACTGAAGCGGACCTCCGGCCTCTTCCCGTGCTGGATATAGGCTCGGTTGCTGTGGGGTTGGAGGAGCCGAGCATTCAGGGATCCCGGTGTGTGAAACGTGAATAGTGTGAACAGCTCTATGTGTGTGACAATGGGGGACATCAGTGACCTGGACCGACAAATAGAGCAGCTCCGACGCTGTGAGCTCATCAAGGAAAATGAAGTGAAAGCACTGTGTGCCAAAGCCAGGTGAGTGCAGCAGTAGTTATACATGTAAATTAATAAGAAAAAGTCATAGTACTGGTTCGGCCATAATCGCATTAAAACGTCTCAAGAAATGATAGTAAATCTTCATTGCTTTGTAAAGTACATTGGGCATTTCAGTTTTAAAATAATCGCATTTTCTGTTTGTAAGTAGAGATACAAAATTTTAATGAAATGTGCAACATGCAGAAATGTTGGAGAGTGTTGTGATAACAGTATGATTTGCGATAGACTCGGTCTAATTATGAATAATCTGTCCAGCTTCTGGAAAAATTTAAATTCTGTAGTTTCATCTCAACAGTTTTTATAGAAAAAGTAGCTTTTTGCTGGTATGTGCTGTTTTTTAAATGAAACAACTTATAGTCAGTCTCTTAATGATTTAAGAACTTTTCCACCTCTTTACCTTCTAAAATGTTTCTTGTTGCCTTTAAAGTGGCTACATATATATAAAATTAAACTTATCATTTATTGTACAGTCTTTATATTTGCATATGTTTTATACTTAGGAATTGTTTACTCTATACTCACTCAAAGGTGTCCATCTCTTAAGGCTTTAATTAATTATTTTTTCAGGTTCTGTTTCCTAGTTGCAGAAAAAGTAGCTATTAACAATAAATTTTACACTTGAATGTATGACAGAGCCTCAGTAACCCAGATATTGTTGTAACAATGAACTTTGCTCCTTATCAAGCTGTTCCATGTAGTTTTGCAACTATGCTGGAAAACATTACTGTGATTACATTGACAGTTTGAAATATTTCACAATTTGAAAATATAAATGCTGCATTTATTTGTCATCTTAGAACTAACTGGAAAAGTGATGCAAACATAATTCAGTGTTGCTTTGATTGGGAGTATCATAAATGAACATCATGATCAAATAAAGCTTACTAATAACTTTTTGTTATGGAGATTCTGGATATATTACTGTAGATACTTTCTGGTTGTGTGACATTATTTCTTTTTTGTGCAAAAAATATGTGGATGAGAGCCCATATTGTGTTCCTTTTAGGAAAAATAATTTGAGAGCACATCAGGATGTTAGCTTTTGAGATAGTCATGAAATGCAGTACTGCTTAGTTTCTTCCTCTGTGATTGGTGGACGTGTGTAAAAGCAGTTTTAATGAAGGTTTGTTTCCATTTTATTGTATAATAAGTCATCGTTATTCTATTTCTTCTCTGAGAATAAAATGGATAAACAGATGTTTATCTGTAAATCATGTCAGCTGACCTTTGACCAAAGTTGATAATGTCTATCCATTGCCTGGATCACTACTAGGGCTGAACTGTACATCACATCACAATATTAGTGTGTGCAATTATTCATATCGCAAAGGACTGTTTGGAGAGCAATAATTGTTGGCTAATATATTTGAAGTGTTCTGAACTTGTATTTTACATGCTGATGTAACATTTAGCCTGATTGACAAATTCATAGCAGACACTAATGATGTTGCCCAAAAGGTTAAAGGTCGCAGAGTGATGGAAGCACAGCTGAGAAACAGAGGACAGAATAAAACACACAAATACTAAACCTGATATCGTCGCAATATTACCAATATTATTGCCACGTCAAGATTTATTAAT